AATGACAAAAAGCCCATCTACAATTTTGATAGCTATATAAGTAATTTTTTTTTGGATATTCTTTTTAAAAAAAATATAAAAATAGGTGAAATTTTGTCGTTTCTATTTTCCTTATTAAAATTCAGAATCTATGCTTGCATTTTAAAATTTTTAATTAATAATTAAATACGTATCTTATACTGTCTCATTATTTCAGCTGTCCATCCAATGAATTGGCTCCGGGATGTTTCTCTCGCCGGAATCTCTACTGCAACTCCTTCAACGTTTCATCAAAAACTCCATCCAAATCAAGCAAATTCATTCCCTCCTCATCATCAGCGGTAATCTCCTCCCTAACCCTAACCCTAACCCCAACTCATCTACCTTCAAATGGATACCCACCTTACTCTACAACACTCTCATCAGAGCTTACCTCAATATCCATCTCCCTCACACTACCTTACTCCTTTTCACCCACATGCTTTCCCATAACATCCCACCAAACCCCCATACTTTCCCTTCACTAACCAAAGCCACCGTTGCTGCTTATACAACCCCTTCCCTCATCGCTAAACCCCTTTACACTCAAGCCCTCAAGCGCGGAGTATTATCAGATCCCTTTGTACAAACATCATTCATTCATTTGTATGCTAAAAGCAACTGTATTTCCTATGCACAGAAGGTGTTCGATGAAATGCCTGAACCATGCCTTGTTTCCTGTAACGCTATGCTTGATGGGTTTTGCAAGAATGGGGATATGGGTTCTGCTGTTTCCTTCTTCGAATCAATGCCTGTGAGGGATGTTTATTCATGGACTACCATCATCAACGGGTACAGCAAGAGAGGGTGTTACGACACTGCAATTCGGTTTTTTCAAAGGTGTTTAAGAGATTGTTCTGTGAAAGCTAATGAAGCTACATTCGTTAGTGTTCTTTCTGCTTGTGTTCATTCTGTTACATTTGGGAAACAGATACATGGGTATATCATCAAGAACAAGGATCAAGTAACTCCCTTTATCGGGACATCACTGATATATTTATATGGGAAAACGGGTCATTTAGATTACGCCACAAAAGTGTTTGAAAGTATGTTGAAAAAGGAAACATGTACATGGAATGCAATGATTTGTGCTCTATCTTCACATGGAAAAGACAAAAAGGTTTTAGAAATGTTTGATAAGATGAAGATTGAAGGGTATCATCCAAATGAAGTTACCTTTGTTGGGATTCTTGCTGCTTGTTCAAATTGCAACCTTATAAATTTAGGTTTAGAATTATTCTACTCAACGTTGCCTCAATTTGGTGTTGTTCCAAAAATGGAACATTATGGATGTGTGGTTGATTTATTGGGTAGATCAGGGTTTTTAGCAGAAGCAAAAGATTTCATAAGTAGGATGCCATTTGAGCCTGATGCCTCTGTTTTAGGTGCTCTTTTGGGTGCTTGTAAGCTTCATGGGGATATTGATTTAGGAAATGAGGTGGCTAAAAGGCTTCTTGAGGTAGATCCACAACAATGTGGTCAATATATAGTTTTATCGAGTCTTTATGCTGATGTTGAGAATTGGGGTCATGCTGCCTTTTTGAGGAATGTTATGGTTGGATTAGGTGTTCATAAACCTCGGGGTTATAGTTTTGTTAGCTCAATGTAAAGAATTAGTTTGTGCACATTAAGGAATGTTAGGGTTGTCATAACATGTATTAGATTTTTAGTATTAATAAAATGGTTCCTTTAAAGGAGTTGACTCCAAATATATTATGAACTTCATGGGAAAATGTAGTGTAAATTTGAAGCTTAGTACATGGATTTTCATTTACCATAGACTTACGAAAAGTCTATTTGAAGGCATGAAGTATGATAAGGGAATTAATTTGGTTACAACTAACTCACTTTGGATGTTACACAACCCAATTTCTTTGTAAATAAGTGTTTCGTATTGTAATAGATATTAAAGAAATTCAATGATACTTTCTTCTCCTTGTTAACTTATTCATCCATTTTGGTGATAATCTAGCGAAGGGGTTGATAAACACAAAACAACACAACACAACATGTATTTCTCATTCACTCGATTGAGTGAAGAATTGGGCAAAACGTATGAGTGGGTACCTACCCAATTTATTAATTCACAAACCTTTAAATTCCTTTTGGGTGATTGTCAAGATCCAAGAAACTAGATTGTAACCAATGGAAAGAAAAATAGTTTGAAATTATCCGAAACACCAATCTTTCTTTACAAACTAATTAAACACGCCCCAAAAAAATTACCATTAACTTTCGTTTCTCAAACAGACAACAAACTATTTATTTTTCACAAAATACTATTATTTTAAAAAATGTCATCGGAAGAAGGTAAACAACTAGAACTTTGTGTTCACAAAATACAATCATTTTATTGGTATTTTGTGAATAAAAAAAAAAATAATTTATTACCTACTAATGATAATTTCTTTAGACAATAACGTTTTGTAGGAAAACAAGTATTAATCTAACTTCCAAATAAATAGTAGGATGATTGAATCGTGGGAATGGGGTGTCTCACTGTTTGTGTTGTCCATCACTTCATAAACTACAAAATAATACAAAAAAAAAAGACTCTTTTTGTTCCTTACAAGAAATTAAACCTGCAAAGAAGATAACATAATATTTTATTCCAAAATAAAATAACATAATATTTAGTTGCTATCCCTCCTTACAATTTACAACATATATAGATGCTATCATTATCTTATCCTATTATCCTATATGGCTTTAAAAAAAATACTATGTACGTCCTTAACAAAATGCAATGTGATTTAGTTTAGTTAAATACTACGGAAACCAGAGTGTTTTCTTACATAAATTGAGCATGAATTAGTATTAATTTTTGAAATAAATAGTTGATACGCATTGAATAAGGCGACAAGAAGTAGTATTTTGTGACCAACGGAAATAGGTGTAAAATCCTGTCTTATAATCGTCTAATTCCCCCCATTAATTATTAAGAAGTGGTATGTATGCATGTGCACTCTTCTCTGTTGACCAATGGAAAACCACAACGATGAATCGATCAATTTCGGGAGATCACTGATAGTACCAAGTGTTCAAGAACTTGCTAAGAAATCCATCACCAAGATCCCACCTCGGTATGTGCGCCAAGATCATAATCAGAAACCCTTAATCACTTCATCCGACGACACCTCCAATCTCTCTGTACCTGTCATTGATCTTCACACCTTATTCGCAACCGATTTCGGATCTTCGACGTCTTCTTCTGAGCTCACTAAGCTTCATACAGCTGCTAAAGAATGGGGTTTCTTCCAGGTCAGAGTTCTTAAAGTCTATTTGATTCGATTTAATCCTTGTAAATTAGAAATTGTATATGTTGTTGGATTGCAAATCACGATGAAATCCAAATCAAGTACTAACATATGCTAAGAATCAAAGTTTTGTTTCCATTATATCGTATTCAGCTCATATAGTCGATAAAAACAGGTTATAAACCATGGAGTAAGTGAGCCCTTATTAGAGGATTTTAAAAGCGAAGTCTTGAACTTCTTCAAGCTTCCAATGGAGGAAAAACAGAAGCTCTGGCAGGAAGAAGACAATCATGAAGGTTTTGGTCAGCTTTTCGTTGTATCAGAGGAGCAGAAGCTTGATTGGTGTGACATGTTTTACATAACTACCCTTCCACACAATCTTAGACAATTTCAACTATTTCAAAAGTTACCTTCGGTTCTCAGGTTGTTTCTTCCTTCTACAAATGAAAAGTCTATAACTTTGAATGTTCTGTTATTGATTGTTGTAACTTAAATAAATGTAAGGTTTTCTCCATTAAGTCCTCACTTTTTACAAAATTGCTATATTGTCGTTTTCTTATATATCTTTTAATCATAATCATCGATCCAGACAATATATAATGTGAAGAAAAAAAGAAACACAACCCTAATTGTTTTAACAACATTGAAGAAATTTGTAGAGAGAAATTGGAAGCTTACTCTATGGAAATAAAAAAGCTAGCAATGGCTATCTTAGGTCAAATGGCTAAAGCTCTAGGGATTGATGGAGAAGAAATGAGTGAATTGTTTGATGATGGGGTTCAGTCGATAAGAATGAATTACTATCCTCCATGTCCGGAACCGGAATCGGCTTTGGGATTCACCCCTCATTCCGATGCCGATGCTTTAACGATTCTCTATCAATTAACCGAAACAGAGGGACTTCAAGTTCGAAAAGATGGAAAATGGGTATCCGTTAAACCTCTTCCAAATGCTTTGGTAGTCAACATTGGAGACATAATGGAGGTAACAACATAATTCCATTATTGTTTTTAGAGTAAATTACACGAATGGTCCCTATGGTTTAGGGTAATTTACACGTTTGGTCCCTAACTTATTTTTTTAACTCTGAAGCCCCTACTGTTTGTTTTTGTTACGCGGTTGGTCCCTATCTTACCTAAAAAGACTATTATACCCTTGATTTTTTTAATTTATCTAAATAAACACACCCCTAATCCTACCCCCTCACCTTACCTCACTTACCCCATCATTTTTTTCTCTTTAAATAATAGTCTTTTTAGATAAGACAGGGACCAAACGTGTAACAAAAATAAACATTAGGGACCAAACGTGTAACAAAAACAAACCATAGGGACCTTCCGAGTTAAAAAAATAAGTTAGGGACCAAGCATGCAAATTACCTCAAACCATAGGGACCATTCGTGTAATTTACTCTTGTTTTTATTGCTTGTGTATCTGAAACTTGGAAAAAAGAAAACAAACGTGTAACCAAAACCCAAAAAACCTCAAATTTGATATTTGTTTGTAGATCATAACTAATGGCGTGTATAAGAGCATCGAGCATCGAGCAATAGTGCATTCAAACATCGAGAGATTATCGGTTGCCACATTTTATAGCTCGGGTATGGGTACTGAATTGGGGCCCGCAAGAAGTCTTGTTGCACAACATAATATAGCAAACTTCCGCCGAGTCCCTCTTGAGGAATATTTCAAGGGATTTTTTGCTCGAAAGCTAGATGGAAAGTCATTTTTGGATTATATGAAAGTTGAAGAATTGAAGAAAAATGTTACGTAGTTGAATTGTAGGTTTGTTGTGTTTTCTGGTTTTATTTCTTTTTGAAGTATGAAGCTCCATTAAATGAGGCAAAAGGATATGGTTATCATGATTCATGAATGAAGCTTTTAACTTTGCTGATTGTGAACACATACAAAAGATGTTTATTTATAAAAAAAACTCGGTTAAAATACCCGACATACAAAAATTGAGAATGAGGCTAAACTACAACTACCAACTTTTCTTACAATACTTTAGAACGATTTTGAATTTCACAAAACAAAAGAAACCATCGATATAGTTCAAACTATATAACCTTTTTCATTCAAGTACGCTTAAAGTTTCATAAACTCCAAGTTTGATTTACCATCAAGCTTTCGAGCAAAAAAATCCTTGTAATATTCCTCAAAAGTGACACGTCGAAAGTTTGCTACATTATGTTGTGCAACAAGGCTTCTTGCGGGGCCTACTTCTACACCCATATTGGAGCTGTAGAATGTTGCCACTGATAACCTATCTTCGTTTGATTGCACTGTTGCACAATGCTCTATGCTCTTGTATACACCATTACTTACAACCTGTAAACATACAAAGTTAGGTTGAGCACAATTCGATTAGGTTCATTTTTCCCTAGAAAACAAAAAAAATCCTAGATAGACATTTAAATAAGTAAAATGATATCATAAACACATTCTATTTTTTGTATGAAAACGGATTGAAAATATCAAATCGATTATCCTTTTGTCATCTTGCTGAAATCATGAATTATGTTGTTACCTCCATTATGTCCCCAATGTTGACTACCAAAGCATTTGGCAAAGGTTTGACGGATACCCATTTTCCATTTTTTCGAACTTGGAGGCCAGTGTTTTTGGTTAGTTGATAGAGGATTGTTAATCCAGTTGCATCAGAATGAGGGGAGAATCCCATAGCCAATTCTGGTTCAGGACATTGGGGATAATAATTCATTTGTAGGAACTGGGCCCCATCATCAAATAACTCCCTCATTTCCTCCTTGCTCATCCCTAGAGCCTTACCCATTTCACCCAAGATGCCTACTGCTAGCTTTTTTATTTCCCTAGAGTATGTGTCCACCTTCTCACTGGATAAATAATGTTTCGAAAATATTTGACAAAATGCAAGGAAAAAAGAAATAGAAAATGAATAATTTGTTAACATATGAGATGAAGAAAGCTCATTCTTTCTGGATTAACTCAAATAGGAAACACCCATATATAACTTATCGGATTAAGGCATGCACTTATTAAGTCAATCAAGTCAAAGAATACGAAATAATGAATTATATGAGTAACTTGAAGACAAATTAGGTAATTGTCTTTTTTTTTTTTTTTTTACCTGACGTGCATGCATGATCATACGTACAACTTGCACGATGTCCGCTAAAGTTTTTTTTATATCGTTTTATGCATTTTTATACTACTAATATTTATTATTTGTTATCGATAGTAATTAAACCCACTATCTTATCATCTACATTTTTTATGTATATAATATTCCTATATATTAAAAAGTGGTAGAGATAACAAAGCGATACGTAATCTAGTACAGATAACAAAGAAATACGATAAGTATGCTGGATAACGGGTGAAATATATATATATATATATATATATATATATATATATATATATATATATATATATATATATATATATATATATATATATATTTGTCATAGATTCTAAACCTTAGATAACTTTAAAAAGTAAAAATAAAAAGAGAATAAACAAGTATAATAAATATTTAATCAAATTTCAATGTTAATTTATAGCAATGCAACCAAATTTAACTAATTTTAATTTATAAATTCAAAACATGAAAAATACCTCCAATATTCAGTTTTCCATTCAAAACCTATAACTTCTGAACATTAGTCACAACAAAAAAGGATAAACGGTAAACCGGTAAAGGATAAAAGCCGTAAAGTGGTAAATTCAATTTTTTATAATTTTTTCAAAAAACAAATCAAGGAAGGGTATCTACTATCAAAATAGGGATTTTGACAGAGGTGTTTGGGAATATTTTTTAAATGATTTTTACCTTTTAACTTTTCTAAAAAATTATAAAGATGTTTGGAAGATGCAAAAATTCTTTTCAAAATAACTTTTTATAAAGAAGAAAAGAGTGGATTTTCAAAAGTCAAGAAAAAGTGTATTTTTTGTAACTTTTGAACTTTTAAAACTAAATCACGTTCAAAAATTAAAAAATACTACCGAAACACTTTTTAAAACAGACTTTTAGCTTTTGTTTCCTAAAAAAAAACTTTTACAAAAAGAACTTTTAAATTTAAAAAGTAACCACAAACACCCCGTAATAATTAGAATTAGACAAAAACTCAACAGCGTGATTTCATTACAACTTCAAATAACAAACACGTCCAACATTATCTACTACACCCCACTTTATTATTGCTAAAATAATCACTTTTAAAACGCATATATATCCAGTAATTAACAGACATGCATGCAAAATTAAAAAATTAATTAAGCTAGTTTCATTTGGAGTAGGAAAAAAAGAACCTGAGGATGGGAGGTAACTTCTGAAACAGTTTAGAATTTCTGATATTATATGGAAGGGTATTTACGTAAAACTTGTCACACCAATCAAGCTTCTGATCCTCGGATGCAACAAACAGTTGACCGAAACCCTCTTGGCAGTCTTCTTTCTGCCAAAGCTTTTCTTTCTCCTCCATTGGAAGCTTGAACAACTTCAAAACTTCACTCTTGAAATCCTCTAATAAAGACTCACTTATTCCATGGTTTATAACCTGTTAATTCATTTAGCATATTAACATCATGATTTCGAAACGTAATTAACCATGGAATTGAAACAACTTGTAATTATAAGAACGACTAAATAATTAATTAGTGAATGCTGACCTGGAAGAAACCCCATTCTTTAGAAGCTGAATGAAGCTTATTGAGCTCAGAGGAATAAGTGGAAGATTCAGAATCGGTTGAAAATAAGGTGTGAAGATCAATCACAGGTATAGATAGAGTGGAGGTGTCATCGGATGATTTGAATAAGGGTTTCTGATGATCTTGGCGTACATAACGAGGTGGGATCTTTGTGATGGATTTCTTAGCAAGTTCTTGGACACATGGTACTATTAGTGATCTCCCAAAATTGATCCCTACATCTTTGTGGTTTTCCATGGATATTCAGTCTTGAAGAATACTAATTGAGGGAATGTAAGATAGTGTATGTGTGTATAATGGTACTTATAACATGATAGTGTTAATTGTTGTGTTGCTTGTCAATTCGTTATATTTTAAACAACTCTGAAAATTTGAACTTTTTTATGGTGTCGTTCTCAAAATATTTTCTTAATATTTGTAAAATTTGTAATACAGAAAAAGAAGATGAAGACCATCGGTATAGGAAACTTAGATATTTTCTATTCATCCTTTATGAAACTTAAAGTTGCAATGAAATAACCACAGAATAATGAACACTTAAAATCTCCCAGAAAAAAGTGAATTAAGGACCGAGAAACTATTTTTGTACGTCTCTGAATTCGGTATCCTAACACAAAATCAACCTAACAGTAGTAAAATATAATGTAAATAAAGGAAGAAGCTTGACACACAAAAAATAAATGTTTTTTTCTTTAAAAAAATATCTATAGTGGTCAAATCAGAAAAAATGGTAAAGTTTAATGGTTTTAATGAAAAAAATATAACAATAATTGTTGAACTTATTTGTTTTATGAATTTGCAAAGACCAACTACCTATTAAGGTAAGTTCAGCCACTTGAGCCTTGTACGTGATTTGTTTTTGATGATTTGGAACCAATACCCCTAGCATATTTACTAACGGTAGTAGCCATAATGATCCAATCCAAACTAGAAAATAAAATTTAAATTAATATGATAACAATGCACTCTACCTACGGGTTGTGTGCATGACTAGCTGAAATAATGTACAATTTAAAACCGGAGGAATGAACAAGTAGATGAGACAAGTGAATCAACCATATTATATTTAAGTGACTTGATAAAGTAACTCCATAAAAGCCGGCCATGGCAATTGAGTTCCAGCCAAGGGAGTTATATACTTGTATATGATTGGCAAAACAAACAGATAACAATAATATCAAAATTAAAATTAATTGTATGTTTTTGTAAGTTTGGGCATGCTTTCTTCTTTGGCGTCGCATCATGCAGGTAAAATTAAATTTGTGTCGTTCTCATTAGGGTCACATCATAAAAAAATGACCTAGTCCTAGTACAGATGAAAAGGACATGAAGTAAATGGATGGGTTTAATGTTAAGATGATGTTGATGCACTTTAACTAGAATAGATACAACCGAAGTTATTATTTATTAGCAAGACACTTTAACTAGATCCAACCGGATTTATTATGTATTAGCAAGATACTTTGAAAACGAAAACAATACTTTGAAAACAATACTTGGCAATTTCGACTCGTTTTTCTAAACTATATGAATTTGGATTATATTTTATCTCCCACTAGCCAAATAGGCTAATTGTAGATTTCATCATCCATCTCATATCTCAACATTACTTGTACGAATCGCCTTGAATCATAGCCATATGAAAGGCCTTCTTCTTTATCAGCAAGTTAACTTCTAAAACCTAGAGTTGTTTACTTACTTTGGCATCGTAGTTCTGACATTGATTGCTCCTTATCTTTTTGATGCCATCTATGTATGCTTCTTCACAAGGTATCTGCATCATATAATTCGTACATTCAAACTTTTAACTATATGATCAACTGATCATTTAAGTGGAACATACTTGTAAATAGTATTCACTACTTAAGATACACAGACCTGTAAATAGTCGTCTATGCCAACAAAATGAACCAAACTTGCACCATTTATAACAAGGTCCTGCACCACAACCAGATACATACTTAATAATCTAATCTATCAACTGTAATTTGTAAACGTAGAACAACTAGATAACATTGTCATATGATTATAATAAAGAGAAATTACAAGGGTTCTTAATGAAAAACATAAAGACTACAAAGAATAAAACGGATATAAATACTAGCTAGACAAAACCCTAATTGGGTAAAGACTAAAGAGCCCATAAACAAGTGGACTAATAATATATAGGCTAACATCCCCCTCAAACTCATAATGCTGAAACAATAAACATTGAGAGTTTGTCACATAAGAACCGAACCGAGAAGCCGATAGAGCCTTCGTAAAAATATCCGCAAGCTGCAAGGTTGATGAAACAAACAGAAACGATATGGTCCTGAGCTACAGGTGATGACAGGTAAAATGACAATCAATCTCAATGTGCTTCGTCCGCTCATGAAAAACTGAATTCTTTGCAATTTGTATCACACTTTTGTTATCACAATGCAACGGAGTAGATGAAGAAATATGAACTCCCATATTCGCAAGCAGCCACCGTAACCAGATAATCTCACATGTAGTTACAACCATAATATGATATTCAACCTCCATGGAAGATCTAGAGACAATGTCTTGTTTCTTGCTCTTCCATGAAATGAGAGACTCTCCAAGAAATACGTAAAATCCAGTGGTGGAATTATGATCATGGCGATCACCATCCCAATCAACGTCACTATAGGCACATAACTCAAGAGAAGACGTCGAGGGAAACAAGAGGGTTTGAAACTGAGTGCCACGAAGATATCGAAGAATACGAAGAACAACTCCCCAATGAACAGAGGTAGGGACAGTAACAAACTGACTGACAACATGAACATCATGAGCAATATCTGGATGAGTCACTGTGAGATAGACCAAACATCCTACAACAGTGCGATAAAGGTTCGGATCAGACAAAGGAATGCCATCAGTAGGAGAGTATCGTGCATTGGTTTCAAGAGTATCAACAATCCGATTGTCATAGAGGCCCGCCCGTGTAAACAAGTCAGATATATATTTAGTCTGAGAAAGAAGATACCCTTTCTTAGACTGAGCTACCTCAATACCCAATAAATAATGCAATAATCCCAAATCCTTCATAGAAAATCGATATGCTAGATCATGCTTCAAAGACTCAATACCACCATGGTCATTACCCGTAATAATCATGTCATCCACATATAAGGACAGAAGAATCCGTCCTGCTTGAGACCATACAAAGCTTTGCAAAGCTGACAAACCTTACTCGGTCGGTGCTGAATTCCTAGGGGAGGAGTCATATAAACCTCTTCATGGAGGTCACCATTCAAAAAAGCATTCTTGACATCCATTCGAAAGATCTTCCGCTGCCGAATGGATGCAACTACAATCATAGTACGAACTGTCGTCATCTTTGCAATTGGGGTAAATGTCTCCTCGTAGTCAAAACCATATTGTTGGGAATACCCTTTTGCTACAAGTTTGGCCTTGTACCGCTCAACAAACCCATCAACTTTTTTTTTCATCTTGTACACCCAATGACAACCTATCGTATGTTTCCTAGGAGGAAGGGAAACCAAATCCCATGTATGAGTCTGATGAAGAACAGTGAGTTCCTCAGCCATAACATTCTGTAAAATAGGATCTAAAACAGCTTCTCTATATGATTCAGGTTCAGACAGATGAAGGATACTCACTATAAATGAAGCAAATGGTCCTGAATATGTAGAGTAAGTAAAATCTGGAAGCTTGGTAGACTTGACAGGACTAGTAGATCTCCTGAGGGGTGGGGGTAGAGGTGGATTCTCAATTTCAACAATCGGTGGAGCAGGCTTAGGAACAGGGGGAGTCGAGGAACTCTTTGAAGAAGTGGGTGTGTCATGAGCTGAAGGATCAGGTGACATAGATGGATCTTAAGCCTCTATATCTTCATTAAAAGAATCAATATGTAGAAGATCGGACTTCGTTACATTGTGGGTTGTAGTAGGAATCAAGTAGAAAGGAACATGTTCCAAAAAAAGTGACATGCCAGGAAACATATAACTTCTGACTCATAGGATCATACCAACGGTATCCTTTTTGTCCAACACCATACCCCCAAAATAAACAAATAGTAGATTTCAGCCCCAACTTGTTCCTCTCAACATGAAGACGAAGAATAAAACAAGTATATCCAAAAACTTGTAAGGAAGAGTGGTCTGGTGAAATGGCCATATAGCTTCTCAAAAGGAGACATTACTAAATTCAATGAAGTAGGGATACGACTAATCACATACACAATAGTTAGGACTGCTTCTCCCCAAAAGGCACTAGGGACCTGCACATATAGGAGCAATGAGCAGGCAGTCTCAACAATATGACAGTGTTTTCGTTCTGCTACACCGTTTTGCTGAGGTGTGTCAGTACACGAGGACTGGTGTATGGTACCATCAGAATCAAGTAACTGAGTAAAATAATTAGAGGTATATTCACCCCCTAAGTCACACTTGAAGCACTTAATCACAACGAATGTTGAGTTTTAACAAGAGCTCTAAAATTACGGTAAATATCAAAGAAATTAGATTTGCGTTTCATAAGATAAACCCATGTATATCGAGTATAATCATCTATAAAAGATACATAACTGGTTGACCCACCCTTTATGGATACAGGTGTAAGACCCCTTACATCATAATGAATAATGTCAAAAGGAGCAGTAGCACAAGACATACTTTTATTGAAAGGTAAAGCACAAAATTTTGCTAGTTTACAACCGCTACAATCAGAAATATCACAAGTGTCTAAATGACCTAAAACACCACTAGATGCTAAAAAGCTCAAATGTGATATAGACACATGTCCCAAATGAGAATGCTAAAGATAAAACTTAGATGACAAAGGACTAAAACGGAAAGAAGATAAATCAATGCTGGAGGCAGCAAACAACAGATACTTTGAGAACCTCCAAGACATACAGTTCCCCCACCCTACGGCTGATCCCAATCACCTTCTGGGTGTGTTGATCCTGTATAACATAAACAAAATAAGAAAAAAACACCCGGTTACCAGACTTACATAACTGACTGACTGAGGAAAGATTCCATCACTCCTTCTGCTAACCCTAAAGAGTTTGAATGCTTCTATTGCCACGAAAAGTCGCACAGGAAGCGAAACTGCCCAAAGTATCTACAAGATGTGAAGGATGGGAAGTGAAACCCAACCATGAAAATATTTACACTATATTGTCTAATGACTCACCCCATTCTAATTCTTGGGTCCTCGATACCGGTTGTGGTATTCATATTTGTTCTGACTTGCAGGGACTAAGAAGAAGTGAGGATGTGGAGCATAGGAAGATAAGCTTAA